AAAAACTGTGACAGATCAGATAACGGATAATGATGAAGAGATGAGTAGTATTTTTTATGAATTTTTTATCACTGTATTTACTAAGGAGGAATTTAACACTCTGCCATCAGCCGAACAAGTCTATGTGGGCGGGGACAAGGACAGATTGGCTAATTAAACAGTTATCAGGGATGATGTTAATAATCAAATATTCTGAAACAAAAACTCAAACCAAACAAATATCAGGGACTGACGAAATGTTTGCCTGGGTGCTTAAAGAATGCAAAGAGAAGCTTTGTGAGCTGTAAGCCATTGTCTACCAAATTTAATAAATCAGTTTGGTAGAATGCAGAAAAACTGGAGTCATGGAAGGTTGCTAATGTGGTACCAATTTTTAAGAAAGGAGATAGATTACTTGCGTCAAACTATCGGCCAATTGGCCTACCATCAATTGTTGGAAAGTTAATCGAATCGATAAATGCAAATACCATTCGTCTTCATCTTTAAAGACATAAAATAATTCACAAAATGGTTTTACGAATGGCCGTTCAAATTTAAAAAATTTTGTAAGTGGAGTGCATCAAGGCTCTGCATTGGGACCTCTGTTGTTTATAATATATATAAATGATTTAGATTCAGGTTTGAGTAGAAACATTTGCAAATTTGCCGATGATACAAAAATCGGTAGGGAAATTATCATGGAAGACGACTCACCATCACTTCAAGTTGATCTAAATAGGGTTTTGAAATTGTCAAAAGATAGGCAGATGCAGTTTAACCCTTTAACTGCGCAACGCGCATGCAGGCCCATGTCTGGGGTGCGCTATGCGCCTCAAGGTATTTGTATTTTTCGCGTTCCATTCAAAACTCCCGTGGCTACATGGGGTCCACATAAGCTTCCTCAGGGCTCTTGTAAACAGACGCCATTTTTTAAAAAAATCATAGTCCACATTGCCGGGTGTGAGAGCCTCAGTAGTCAGTGAGCAACCAAGGCTGGTGCTCGCAGCATGAGCGCACAGCACTGCTGTTCAGCGTGTAACCACAGCATCACCTAATAATGTCAAAATATATATATAACCTGTATTATTTAGCCATGATAGTATTATAGAAGAGGCTGAGTGTGATAATGACTGGGTACAATGTTCAAATATCAGTGATTCAATGCTGTTCACGATGTTCACAGCGCTAGCCACAGCACCACAGCACCACAGCATTATTTCGTCCATCTAGGAATCTTCAAACGACTTCTTAGGTTCCTTTTCAAAGTAAACTTGTGGTCAATTATTTATTTACAGGAATTAGTGACCAGGATTGTGGTTATAATTAGCATTGTGCGTAGTATTGTGGAAGGAGGGATTTTGGTGAGGGAGGGAGGAAGGGAGAGAATTGAGGTAGCCTCATTGTGTGGCAGCCACTATTGTTTTGCTCACCATACTAGCTTCGTGGTTCGATGGGGAACACACATGTACATGGGTATATACAGTGTGTATGTGTGTGTGTGTGTGTGTGTATAGGGTAATAACAGCAACAGAAGTATGTTCAGTGGAGCTATTTTGGTGAGGGAGGTGACATCGTAATTGTAGCGTCGTCTGCTGTGTGATTTTTCATGCAGTGTATGATGGCCACTGTACTGTTTGGACACAATACTGGCTTACTTGCATAGTTCTGGTAAATAAAACATGTAGTTAGGTATATATAGCATGTGTAAATAGTGTAATAAAACAATAACAGTATGGTGGGAGGAGCAATGTTGGCGAGTAAGATGTCGGAGTGAGGGAGGGCCTGTCTGGGTGTGGCTGCTCACACTCGCGATGTTCTGAATGCGTTGATGGTAAATGTATATAGTGTGTGACAGTGTATAGTGTGTGACAGTTTATAGTGTGTACATATGTTGTAAATATACATAAATGAACATGAAACATTGGTGTGAATAACTGTATGATGGAAGGAGCAATATTGGCGAATACAATGTTGGAGGAGTGAGGGAGGGCTGGCTGAGTGTGACAGCTCACACTCGCGGTGTTCTGAATGTGTTGATGGTGAATGTATATAGTGTGTGACAGTGTATAGTCTGTAAATAGATTGTATATAAACATAAATTAACACGATACATGGTAAATATGTGCAACATATGTGTACACAAGTGTCATGCACGTAACACAGTGTCCTCAGACAGTACTTATGTTTTACTGCCATAATATAGTGTACGTGTTCATTATACATAGGATTAGCATGTAAAAACAAATAAAATGTGTTTGGAACTGTGCACAAAAAATGAACAAAAATGTATTCGCGGCAACTCGCCTGTCCCGCCCCCGGGCGCCCTACTTGTCCCAGGAGCGTACGTCACGGGCGAACGGGAAATGATGACGTCACACGCCAACTTACGGACCCCATAGCAGCCAAAGTAAGTGCACTTTCAAATTTTTTTGACATACCCATACTGAGGGAAGGGTTTTTGACACTTTAAAAAACAAAAGAATTTTTCAAGAGAATTTATTTCCTGCGCACTGGGGGGGGGGGTGTCATATTTGGAGGCAGCGCAGTTAAAGGGTTAATGCTGATAAATGTAAAGTTCTGAGGCTAGGTTAATGATGATAGTTACAAGATACGAGTTAGATGGTGTTGAGATTGCGAAGTCGGATTGCGAAAGAGATCTGGGAGTTATGATTAGTAAGAATTTAAAACTAAAGGATCAATGCATGAATGTTCGTAATAGGACACTGGGATTTATTAATTGAAGCGTTAGTAACAAGACACCTGGTGTTCTTCAGCTATGTCTTGCTCTGTTAGGCCCCCGTTTAGATTATGCAGTTCAGTTTTGGTCGCCGTACTATAGAATGGATATAAATTCACTTGAACGTGTCCAGTGTAGGATGACTAAGTTAATTCCCCAAATTTGGAATCTTTCATATGAAGAAAGATTAACAAAGCTTAAATTGCATTCACTGGAAAGGCAAAGAGTTAGGGGTGACATGATAGAGGTTTACAAGTGGATGAATGGACATAACAAAGGGGATATTAATAGGGTACTAAAAGTATCAACACAAGACAGAACACGAAACAATGGGTACAAATTGGATAAGTTTAGATTTAGGAAAGACTTGGGTAAATACTGGTTCGGTAACAGGGTTGTTGATTTGTGGAACCAATTACCGCGTAACGTGGTGGAGGTAGGGTCCCTCGATTGTTTCAAGTGTGGGTTGGACATGTATATGAGTGGAATTGGGTGGTTATAGATAGGAGCTGCCTCATATGGGCCAATAGGCCTTCTGCCGTTACCTTTGTTCTTATGTTCTTATGATTCTTACGAGCCCTGTGGTGCTTTTGCCCCCAATCTTTTATTTTATCTGCTGTGAAGTTGAAGCCTATCAGGCAGCTGTTACATTGAGGACTTGGTTTGCCCATGTTCAGCATTCACAGCATTGTTCTTGTTTGGATGCCCCAGAGTTGGCCTGTATTGTGTTAGGGACCCAGAATTGGAGGTATTGGCGAGTTCTATCCATGCCTCCTCTTCCTTCTCTTGTAGGCATAGTTCACCATGATTTTGTTCCTTCCTCCTGACTCTGGCTCCAAAACGTCTGAAGGGTTCAGAGTTGGGGCAGGGTTTAGCATGGAGTGCAACCAAGTCTTCTCGGGGTTGTTCCATCCTTTTTCGAGAACAGAGTAGTTGATTCTTCACTGACCTTCTGGATGCTTTCATGTAGCATGGTAGAATATCACCCACACTATACTTTTGTGAGGGGGTCCAAGTTCTGGCTCTGGTTCCCCTGGTAGGCCAAATAGAACTACCATAACTGATGTTACCTAGTAGCTAGGAGCCATCACAACAAAATAGCCTCACAGAGCCACTAGGGCTCTGCCAGAAAAGGGAATTTCATTGTTTAATTCTTTTCTGGGGGGAGCCCCCTCGACTCCCTGGAGCTATCCAGACTATCCAGGCTGATATGGATATTATTAGACTTTGGTATCAGTCAACGTGAATGGTGTTCTTTAGGCCTACCGAAGACCTCGATCCAGAACCTGGCCCCTTAGAGAGGCATGAGGAGCAGTGGCCTATAGAGTAGCACATGTGATTTGTAGCATTCTATGTCTGTCATCGACTGGGTCAGGCACCCAGAAAGGTAAGAATCCCAAAACAAGCCCCTATTCTGGTTGAAACTACTACTGAAAGTCAAATGAGTGGACAGAACTCCCCAAAGAAAAACAAGCAAACGAGCATGATGTCACTATGTGCCGCGTCGCCGTTTGCGCAGCTCCCCACTCCCTGGAAGGGGAAGGGGGAGCTCCAGACCCCTCACGCTGGTTACCCACACCTTTAGTTATCGGCTGATGTGGCAAGACGTTGGTCGTGTGACTCCAGCTCCTGATTCTTGTCTCAGTGCTGTGCCTTGTGTCTAATGCTGTCTTCAGAGGTAGTGTGCGAGTTGGGAGTAATCTTCACAGGTACTCGGGCTGCATGCGCTTGGGGTTCCCCTCTCCAAGTGCCCTGTAGTACCGCCCTTGGGGTATGGAGCCATCTTCCACAAGTCACCTTGGTTCTACCTCTGCTGGGTCTTTTGCCACTCGGTGATACTGTCCTGAGTGTGCTGGGGGGCATGTGGTCCCCGGTAGGCCTATAGGACTCCATTCACACTAGACTGATGCCAAAGTCTAATAATATCCATATCAGTCTGGGGCCAGATTCAAGCAGCAGGTACACAAGCACTTACGAACCTGTACATCTTTCTTCAATCTTTGGTGGCTTTGTTTACAATTATTAAACAGTTAATGAACTCTGAAGCACCAGGAGGCTGTTTATAACAATAATAACAGTTGATTGGGAAGTTTTCATGCTTGTAAACTGTCTAATAAATGTAACCAAAGCTATCAAAGATTGAGGAAAAATGTACACGTTTGTAAGTGCTTGCATAACTGCTTCATGAATCTGGCCCTTGGATAGCCTGGATAGCTCTGGGGAGCCTCCGGGTCTCACCCAGATAATGGTGTTTCATTACATTCAATGCTGTTTTTTTTTTCAGGAAAGAATAACCTCGACAAGTAATGCATTGTCACTTTTAACTTGCTATGGAATGTCTGACAGTGAAGATGACTGTGATGTGGATGATAACATGGAAACAAATTGTGATAATGTTGCAAATGAAGTTGAGACCATTGAAACAGCAGTGAATGTTGCTTCAAATGCATCTTTTGAGTTTCCATTTGAAAATACAGTCCCAACACTCAACCAGCAGGCCCTTCCAAAAGTAAATGGTGATGACTGTACCATAGTAGGTGTAATGGAGCAAAATATTAATTGTAGAACTGAAACAATTAATAGTGGAAGTGAGACATCAGAACTTTGTATCACCGAGCCTAGCAGCTACAGATATGTAATAGATGTTGGAAGTGATTCTGAAGACTCGGAAAATGACTCGTCATTGTCATCATCATCATCGTCATTGTCATCATCTTCATCAGAGAGTGATAGTTCTTCAGATGAGAGTGAAGAAAGTCCAATAGACTTCAAAAGGGAAAAAATTACTTTAGATAAAGAGAAGTAAGTGCAGTGTACTTTCTATTGAACCTTGAGGTTACCTTGAGGTGCTTCCGGGGCTTAGCGTCCCCGCGGCCCGGTCGTCGACCAGGCCTCCTGGTTGCTGGACTGATCAACCAGGCTGTTGGACGCGGCTGCTCGCAGCCTGACGTATGAGTCACAGCCTGGTTGATCAGGTATCCTTTGGAGGTGCTTATCCAGTTCTCTCTTGAACACTGTGAGGGGTCGGCCAGTTATGCCCCTTATGTGTAGTGGAAGCGTGTTGAACAGTCTCGGGCCTCTGATGTTGATAGAGTTCTCTCTCAGAGTACCTGTTGCACCTCTGCTTTTCAACGGGGGTATTCTGCACATCCTGCCATGTCTTCTGGTCTCATGTGATGTTATTTCTGTGTGCAGGTTTGGGACCAGCCCCTCAATTATTTTCCACGTGTAAATTATTATGTATCTCTCCCGCCTGCGCTCAAGGGAGTACAGATTTAGGCTCTTTAGTCGGTCCCAGTAGTTTAGATGTTTTACTGAGTGGATTCTAGCAGTAAAGGATCTCTGCACGCTCTCCAGGTCAGCAATTTCTCCAGCTTTGAAAGGGGCTGTCATTGTGCAGCAGTACTCCACTCTAGAGAGCACAAGCGTTTTGAAAAGTATCATCATCGGTATAGCATCTCTAGTGTGAAAAGTTCTTGTTATCCAACCTGTCATTTTTCTTGCAGTTGTGACGGCTACTTTATTGTGTTCTTTAAAGGTAAGGTCTTCCGACATGAGTACACCCAGATCCTTTACATTGCCTTTTCGTTCTATGTTATGATTTGCCTGAGTTTTGTACGTGGTTTCCGTTTTTATATTTTCATTTTTTCCGTAGCGCATGAGCTGGAACTTATCTTCGTTAAACACCATATTATTTTCTGTAGCCCATAGAAAGACCTGATCTACATCTGATTGGAGGTTTGCCGTGTCCTCTATGTTGCCTACTCTCATGAAAATCCTAGTGTCATCTGCAAAGGATGATACAGTGCTATAGGTTGTGTTCTTGTCTATGTCCGATATGAGGATGAGAAAAAGTACTGGAGCAAGCACAGTACCCTGGGGGACTGAGCTCTTCACGGTTGATGGGCTGGATTTTATTTTGTTGACTATTACACATTGGGTTCTGTTAGTCAGGAAATTGTAGATCCATCTGCCTATTTTTCCGGTAATTCCTTTTGAACGCATTTTATGTGCAATAACACCATGGTCACATTTATCAAAAGCTTTTGCGAAATCTGTGTAAATTACATCAGCGTTTTGTTTGTCTTCCATAGCATCTAATGCCATATCATAGTGGTCCAGCAACTGCGACAGGCAAGAGCGCCCTGTTCTGAAACCATGTTGTCCGGGGTTATGGAGATGCTGTGATTCCATGTATTTTGTGATCTTACTTCTTAGCACTCTCTCAAAAATTTTTATGATGTGCGATGTTAGTGCTATCGGTCTGTAATTTTTTGCCTCTGCCTTATTTCCTCCTTTATGGAGTGGTGCTATCTCTGCTGTTTTTAGTATGTCAGGGATAACGCCAGTATCTAGGCTTTGTCTCCACAGAATGTGAAGGGCCTGCGATAGTGGTTTTTTACAGTTCTTGATGAATATGGAGTTCCAAGAATCCGGGCCTGGTGCAGAGTGCATAGGCATACTGTTTATGGCTTCTTCAAAATCCAGTGGGGATAGGGTGACGTCTGATATATGATTTGATGTTGGTATCATATCCATGAAAAATTCATTTGGGTTATCAATCTTTAGTGCGTTTAATGGCTCGCTGAAAACAGAGTCGTACTGCTTCCTCAGTAACTCGCTCATTTCTTTGTTGTCATCGGTGAAAGTTCCATCTCCCTTTCGCAGGGGCCCGATACTAGATGTGGTTTTTGATCTTGATTTTGCATAGGAGAAAAAATATTTCGGATTTCTCTCTATTTCACTGATGGCCTTTTGCTCTCTTTGCCTCTCCTGGGTTTTGTATGATTCTTGTAGCTTGAGTTCAATTGTTTCTATTTCTCTACCTAACCTTCTTCGCCGTTCTTGAGATAGGGTGCGACTCTCAAGTTGTTCCGCGATTCGTTTTCTTCGCCTATATAGGGAACGACGTTCCCGTTCCAATCTGCATCTCTTTCTCTTTTTTCTTAGGGGTATGCGGTTTGAACATATTTCTAGTGCTACTGAGCTTATTTTTTCCAGGCACTGGTTCAGGTTTGCATTTTCTAGCTGTTCTTCCCAGTTTATTTCTGTGAAGTCCTGGTTTATTTGCTCCCAGTTTATCTGTTTATTATTGAAGTTGAATTTGCTGAAATCTCCTCCACCGGGAATCTGGACTGGTTTTGAAGGTCTATTCCCCATGGTTGTCAGAACTTCAATTAAGTTGTGATCTGAGTAACAGGTATTTGTAATCATTATGTTCCCGATCAATTCATCATTATTAGTGAAAATGAGGTCCAGCGTGTTCTCCTTCCTAGTTGGTTCTACTATTTGCTGGTTTAAGGCAAACCTGTCGCACATCCGTAGCAGGTCATTTGCATGTGCCTGTTCATTTAGGCTACTTCCTGGTATTCTTTCTGATATTACTGTATTAGCCAGGTGCTTCCATTTCAGGTGCCGTAGGTTGAAGTCCCCAAGCAGGATGATGTTCGGAGCTGGATTTGTGAGGTTTTCCAAGCAGTGTTCTATTTTCATTAGTTGGTCTTTAAACTGCTGAGGGTTTGCCTCCGGTGACTTATATACAAGGACAATAACTACATTTAGGATCTCTATTTTGATTATCAGCACTTCCACCATATCATTTGAGGTGTTTAGCAGCTCAGTACAGATGAGTGTGTCTTTGATGTAGAGGCTGACCCCACCCTGAAGCCGGTGTTTCCTATCACATCTGAAAAGATTGTACTCTGAGATCCATATTTCACCATCATGGTAGTCCTTTGTGTGAGTTTCCGTTAGGGCTGCAAACACTGCATTTGCCTCATGAAGGAGACCATCTATAAAGTGAACTTTGTTGGATTTGCGTGTTTTTATACCCTGGATGTTGGCAAATATAAATGATGTTATCGTGTTAGTGGAAGTGCTGGATGCTTTACTTGGTGTTAATATCTGAGGCTCTGGTAAGGAGGCCACTGTGTTTGCGTCCTCTCTAGCATTTGACCGAGTTGGTGGTAGAGTCTGGTCATTTTTAGCCATTCTTCTCCTCCTCCTCTTGCTAAAAAATTATCCCGGTCGATGGAGTAGTGGCTGTTTTCATAGTGGCGGTCTGTCGGTTTTATTCGCCTGGTACCTCTTATATGAAAAGCTGGACATTCAGCATTGAAGCACTCTTTCCTGTCCAAAGAGTTCTTGCAAATTTCTGGGTGAAAGAATTCACAGCTTTTGGTACATTTACCTGTATTGAGGAGGTTTCTGCACTTTCTAGGGTGATCGTACTTACATGTTCCATTTGTTCTTCCCGATATCCCATGCTTACAGGTAGCCCATTTGTAATACCAACAGATTTTGGGGCCTTGTTTTGTTTGTTTCCCTTTGCCAGGGACCGCACTCTGCTGCGGCGTCCCCGACACTGTGCTCTGCTCCGGGGCCTGTGACACCGCGCTCTGCTCCGGTGCCATCGACACCGCGCTCTGCTCCGGCGCCCGCGACACCGCGCTCTGCTCAGGCGTCCCCGACTCCATCTGCTCACCCCCGACTCCGCTCTGCTCAGGCGTCCCCGACCCGCGCTCTGCTCAGGCACTCCGCGCTCTGCTCAGGCGTCCCCGACTCCGCGCTCTGCTCAGGCGTCCCCGACTCCGCGCTCTGCTCAGGCGTCCCCGACTCCGCGCTCTGCTCAGGCGTCCCCGACTCCGCGCTCTGCTCAGGCGTCCCCGACTCCCCGCGCCCTGCTCAGGCGTCCCCGACTCCACGCTCTGCTCTGGCGCCGCTGCCACCAAGCTCTGTGCCACATCTGGTTGTACCTTGGTGTCTTGTACAGTTTGTTTGAAGACATTAGAAATTGCTATGCAGGCATTAATTAGTAGTTCTCTGTTTTCGGCGGGAGTTTTATCCAGGATTTCCATCATCTTCAAAAAAGTTACATCATCTTTTTTGCAGAGCCAGTACACAGAGTGGTCACTGGGACTATTTCTCCTTGAATTATCAGTCATGTTGGCACATTTTTTGTGTATGGCTGCTGAACAGAGTTGGCATTGAAAGCTCTGTTGGATGCAACCTTCATGTTGCATTCTATGCACGTTTTTATCAAAGCCATTTTTGTTGAACATTTCTGTTCAGTAGTGATGGTCTTACAAGGTCTTACAAGGTGGGGTGTTGACCGGTGGGGGGTTGTGGCCGTGGGTGTTGACCGTGGGTGTTTACCAACTTGAGTATGGACGGCCAGTGTTGCTACCACGTGTCGCACTCTTAATTTGTTTTGTTCACTTGTTAGATTACATTACTTGCATTTTCCCACTAGTTATCTTACAGCGGAGGCGTCTAGTTTCTGTGTCTGGGCACTAGTTACCTGAGTACGTTACACTATTTGAAAGAATACACACACAGAGGGTACTGGGGTGGGCCTACCTCCAAATGGCCCTTGTTTACATACACACGACGGACTTATTTTGTGTATAATTTGTTCACTTGATATTAAAATATGTTATCTTAATTTTTGTTATAATAGACACACGTTTTGCATAGAGAGCTTAGCACTATGGGCACTGATTTCTTGATGTTTCAATAGCGAGAGATGTGATTTATTGACGACTTGGCAACTATTGCCTAAGGCCTCCTGGCACCACGAGGGCAGGCCTTGACTACACACGAATTTCACTTATTTTCCTTGAACACAAACGGTCGGATGGTAATCACTATGATATATTGATTAATATGTTGAGACACACTTTAAAAGTTATCTGATTGTGTTTAGTTCCTGTATCACTGAAATATCCCTAGATTTATATTGTTTTCCGCGGAGCTCGCATAGCGTGGCCCTTCCCCTACGAGGCAGAAACAAATGGGCAAAGTTTCTTTCACCCTGAATGCCCCTGTTACCTAGCAGTAAATAGGTACCTGGGAGTTAGTCAGCTGTCACGGGCTGCTTCCTGGAGGTGGAGGCCTGGTCGAGGACCGGGCCGCGGGGACACTAAAGCCCCGAAATCATCTCAAGATAACCTCAAGATAACCTCCCCTCTCACGCCCAGAACAGCGCCCTCTGTACCTCGGCTTACGAATTTAATCCGTTCCCAGAAACAGCTCATAACCCGAAAATTCATAATATGTAGCAAATTTTTCGACAAGAAATAATGTAAATTGAATTAATCTGTTCCACCCTCCCAAAAATATTAACTTCAAAGTAAATTATATACCTAATTCACCTAAATCCTTAGTATTAAAGTATGTGCAATTTATTGCTTACCTTTATTGATGACTCTTGTTGGCGTATGGAAGACGGGGAGGAGGGGAGAAGTTAGTGTTTGGAAGGGGAGTCCCCTTCCATTATAATATCAGGCAATGATGACTTCTCTGGGGTACCCTCTCTGGTATGTTTTGCAGGAGTACCACTAGGACCTGCTTGTGGCTCACTGCTTGTTTTCTCACTAAAAATCTATCCATAGAGGCTTGTTTTTTCCCTACGTTGTAACACTTGTCTGTAGTGAGGCATCACAGTGTCATTAAAAAGGTTAATGCTACGGCCTACTACAGCTTGCTCTGGGTGAGTCGTTTTAACAAAAGTTTACATTTCTTCCCACAGTCTACATCACTTCCTAATTGTTGAGGAAGGGACATTCTGTACTGCCTCCTCCTTCCCTGAAGACACTTTCTCAGTGTTTGTGTTCTTTGTTCCGTGATTGTTGATAAGCCTTTTGCCACTTTAGCACTCATAATGTCCATTTTCTTAAGCAATTACAGTGCATATCATTGGCATAGATTTCTACTGCCTCGCTAGTTCATCATTCTGTTTACCATTTTCATGTTTACGAATGATCTCTTGTTTTTTCTTTGGTCATCCTCACATGTGTTTTCTTGGATTGAACTTTACCACTGGCTTTCTTGGGACCCATGGCAAGATATATTATAATAATAACTTTTATGTTTAAATACCCCAAAATAAAAAAAAATACTGAAATTCTTTACAAAGAATTCAAGCACGATTGTCACTAGGCAGGAGGTACTGGTAAACTGAGGCACTTAAATCTTAAATGAGATTGCCTATACTGTATAATATAGGCATATTATATTCATAATTGTAATTGTATTATATTCATATCTAGCTGTACCCGGCCACCTGTTGCTGTGGCTCCGCAACACATGCGTGTTGCTGAACCACAGCAACCTTCCCCTTGTCTCCCAGTCCTCCCCACCATTCCCCTCTCCTGTCCCCTCGTCCTCCCCACCATTTCCTCCCTCCCCCATCCCTGTGTCCTCCCCACCATCCCCCACTCCACCATCCCCTCGTCCTTCTAACCCATTCCCCACTCAACCGTCCCCCCGTACTCTCCTCCATCTCCCACTCCCCCATCCCCCGGACTCCCTATCATTCCCTTCTCCCCGTTCCCTCGTCCTCCGCACCACCCCCCCCCCATCTCTCCTGTCTCCTTGTCCTTCCTATCATTCTCCATTCCCCTGTCTCCTTGTCCTTCCTATCATTCTCCATTCCCCTGTCTCCTTGTCCTTCCTATCATTCTCCATTCCCCTGTCCCCTCGTCCCCACCAACCCCAACCATGTAGAAGGCTCTACAAGGCTCGGATGAGCCTTGTCAGGGCTGATTACGTTCTGCCTCGCGTGTCTCGCCTCCGGTTGACGGTCTGGTGGCTTCATTGTTGGTGTCCCACCTACGTGCTTCTTCTTGGCAGCAGTATGGGGTATTTTGGTGGTCCTTCCTTTTCCTCCTGTCCTTTCTTAGGTGGCTGTGGTTGTTAGCGTCGGCTTGGTTTTTCTGGTGGGGGTTGAGGGCCGTCGTCTTGCCACATACTGTCGCCTCATTTCGTGCGGCGCTGGCGGAGCCGCTTCGGCTTGCTTTCAGTCTTGGTGTTGCTTCTGCACCGTTAGTAAGCTGTCTCGTGCGTTGTTTCACCTCCAGCCTGTTCGTGTGTCGCTTGCACCGTCCTGGTCTCTGGTCAGTGTGCTCTGTCTTCTCCTCGGTTGGTGGTGCCCCTTCGGTTCAGGTTTGTTTTTCGACGACTTTTTTTTTCCTGTTGGCATTTGCCTCTGGGGTTGGGTCACTGGGCTTCTTGCTCTCCTCTGCGGGGGTTTCTGCTCCTTTGGTCTTGGTGTTTTGGTTGTTCGGTGGCAGCTGTCTCCGTCTTTTCTGGCACAGGATGGGGCTGCTGCGTTCCGGAGAGGTCCTTGGTTTGTTGGTGCTTGGTTAGTCAGGCCGGGTGCGTCGTTTTTTCTGTTCAGTGGCGGCTCTCCACTGTTATTTGCGTGCCACGGCCTGTATGTGCAGGGCGCGCTTTGAGTTGATCCAGTTCCGTTCTTCCCTGTTCACGGGTGAAGGTGTCCCGGGTTGTCCGCCATGTTATTGCGGCTAGCCTGCCTGTGTTCTTTCCCTATACCCATGGCGTTTGCGGCTTCGCTGCTCTTGCTGCCGTCTGGGCGGCGTGTCCTTGCTGTCATTCGGGCACGGATCTTTTGGTGTTCGTACGGGGCCTAGCTGCTTTTGGTGTTTGTACGCAACTTGTCCTCTTAAAAATAACGTCGCTTATGGCCGTTTGCCCGTATGGCCGAAAATGGACGTAATTTGAAAATGAAAAAAAATGAAAATAAATTTGGGATTTTTTTTTTCAACAACAGTAAGTTAAGGGTCCTTTGATAGGTTAGGTGGGCAGGAAATTCTCATAAAGTTTCAAAACGTTACGAAAAACGTTAATTGAAAGCTTCCTCTTTTAACCTTACCTCGTAAGCCGGACGACTCAAACTGAAAACGGAACAGTACGTCACTTTTGTGAGTCAATTTCATTTCAAATTACATCCAAATTTGGCCATAGCGCACATACCAGCGAAAAGTGACGTTATTTTTAAGAAGACGGGTTGTTGTACGAGCCTAGCTGCTCGTTGTCTCGTGTTGTTCCCGGGCCCTTTCAGGGCTGTGTCGCCTTGGGTTGGCGTTTGCTGCCAGTTGTCTCACTGTCATTGAGGGGTGCGTGGTGACTGCCTCCCGGCTCCGTCCCTTTGACCTTCCTCTGTGGGTAGTTAGCTCCGGGAAGCCGATGGGGCTCCCCCCAGAAAACCAGCGTTGAATGTAATGAAACACCATTTTCTGGGTGAGACCTGGAGGCTCCCCGGCAACCCTCCCTCCCTCCGGTCGGCGTTTTTTTTTGCGTGTTTTGACATCCAGGCTCAGAACTGATAGGTGGATAGCCGGCGTGAGATGTCTGTGGCTCCCCCTTCCCCCTCCCGGGGAGGGGGGAGCTGCGTAGACAGTGGCGTGGTGACGTGTGATGTCATACTAGTTTGCTTGTTTTCTATTGGGGGAGTTCTATCCACTAGTTTGGCTTTTGGTAGCAATTTTAACCAGAATAGGGGTTTGTTTTGGAATGCTTACCTTTCTGGATGCTTGACCTTGTCGATGGCAGACATAGAATGCTTCCAACCACACGGGGGTTTCTATAGGCCATTGCTCCATTTGCCTCTCTGAGGGGGCCAGGTTCTGGACGTGGTCCCCGGTAGGCACTAGAACTCCATACACATGACTGATGCCAAAGTCTGACATTAGCATATCAGCCTGGTTTAGCTCCGGGGAGCCTCCGGGTCTCACCCAGAAAATGGTGTTTCATTACATTCAATGCTGGTTTTTTTAATCTAAAATACAGATGGATAACAGGGAAACAGAAACAGGGACAGACCGAGTGAAACAGACAGAAGACCCGGGCACAGCGGATACTCCCCTCTAGTTCTTTATATACTGTACCACATATTTGTCAATATTTGCTTCAATAGGGGTACCAATCTTAAAATTTTTGTACACTGGTCATTGATTTTATCTGGTAAACTTCTTATCTCACAGTATTGTAATTATCAACCTCTTAATTCAGCTACAGTACTAGGTGACCAAACCACACACCAGAAAATGAGATGACGACGTTTTGGTCCGTCCTGAACCATTATCAAGTCGATTGTGACATTCGTCTTGATAATTGTCCAGGACGGACCGATACGTTGCCTTCTCATCTTCTGGTGTGAGGTTTGGTCATAATATATTCAGCCATGTTATTGTGACTCATCGTCTCCAGGTGACGATGTTTCAATTAATTAAATATACAAAATTGTGTAATTAGTTCACAAACTAATGAATTTGATTAATTACTTGGCCATCCATAGTTATTTAACATGTTATGTAACTCAGATGTGAGTTGCAGAAGAAGCGTTCATCTAGGCGTAAGCTGCTTACAACAGGAGAACTTCTCATAGAGGACCTTCCACCAATTGATGACTTGCACATATCTGTTCCTGAGGAAAAGGCCAAACCTATTGGATTAATATTGAACATTGTGGAGCAGCAAGGTGAGTGAGATGCTCCAGTGTCAGTCTTTTTCTGAGGTCTTTTTATTTTCCATACGTAACATATAATTGTTAATAATACTGTAATAATGTTTATTTTAAACAATACACTTGCAGGGAGTGATTATAATTTGCCCTGTAATATATTTTGGGTCTCATGAAGTCACAAATTAATTTCATTCATATGTAGTTTTCTTAGAAATCCAAATTTCAGAGGGAAATCTGGTAAACTGATTTGGTCTAGTTATTTAGAGAGATTCATTATATGAGATTTAGATTTTGGGAGTGCAGCTATAATCACACATATGGCCTTTGGTTTTTCCAGTTTTCTTATTAACAGTTGTGTCAACCTGTAATTTACCTATAGTCATGTAGGAGATGAGTCACAGTAACGTGGCTAAAGTAAGTTGACCAGACCACACACTAGAAAGTGAAGGGACGACGACGTTTCGGTCTGTCCTGGACCATTCTCAAGTTCAGTCCATCCTGGACCATTCTCAAGTTAGGTCCATCCTGGACTATTCTCAAGTTCGGTCCATCCTGGACCATTCTCAAGTCGATTGACTGAAGTCAATCGACTTGAGAATGGTCCAGAACGGACCGAAACATCGTCGTCCCTTCACCTTCTAGTGTGTGGTCTGGTCAGCCTATAGTCATGTAGTTGGTTTTGAGAGTTCTCTGCAAGCCAAACTTTGGGCCAGGTCTGTTTGTTAATAACTTGCTCATGGACACCTTGGCACATCTCTCTATACATCAGAGGTTCAGAGATTGGTTAGGTATCGTGGTGAGACAAGAGGCTTACAGCTTTTGGGCTCTCCTGTTCAGGCTGCATCTAGCTAGCACCATGGAGAAATGTCACAAGTGGAGCACCACAGGGTTCAGTTCTTGCACCAGTAATGTTTATTGTCTACATAAATGATCTACCAGTTGGTATACAGAATTATATGAACATGTTTGCTGATGATGCTAAGATAATAGGAAGGATAAGAAACTTAGATGATTGTCATGCCCTTCAAGATGACCTGGACAAAATAAGAATATGGAGCACCACTTGGCAAACGGAATTTAATGTTAATGAATGCCATGTTATGGAATGTGGACTAGGAGAACATAGACCCCACACAACCTATATATTATGTGAGAAATCTTTAAATAATTCTGATAAAGAAAGAGATCTAGGGGTGGTTCTAGATAGAAAACTATCACCTGAGGACCACATACAGAATATTGTGCGAGGAGCCTATGCCACGCTTTCTAACTTCAGAATTGCTTTTAAATACATGGATGGCGATATACTAAAGAAATTGTTCACGACTTTTGTTAGGCCAAAGCTAGAATATGCAGCGGTTGTGTGGTGCCCATATCTTAAGAAGCACATCAACAAACTGGAAAAGGTGCAAAGACATGCTACTAAGTAGCTCCCAGAACTGAAGGGCAAGAGCTATGAAAAAAGGTTAAAGGCATTAAATATGCCAAAACTGAAAAGACAGAAGAAAAATAGGTGATATGATCACTACATACAAAATAGTAACAGGAATTGACAAAATCGATAGGGAAGATTTCCTGAGACCTGGAACTTCAAGAACAAGAGGTCATAGATATAAACTAGCTAAACACAGATGCCGAAGAAATATAAGAAAATTCACTTTCGCAAATAGAGTGGTAGACGGTTGGAACAAGTTAAGTGAGAAGGTGGTGGAGGCCAAGACCGTCAGTAGTTTCAAAGCGTTATATGACAAAGAGTGCTGGGAAGACGGGACACCACGAGCGTAGCTCTCATCCTGTAACTACACTTAGGTAATTACACACACACATACATACATATACACATACACATATATATGTTGTACCTAGTAGCCAGAACGTCGTACTCGGCCTGCTATGCAAGACCCGATTTTCCTAATAATTCAAGTTTTCCTCAATTAATATATTTTCTCTAATTTTTTTCTTATGAAATGATAAAGCTACCCATTTCATTATGTATGAGGTCAATTTCTTTTTATTGGAGTTAAAACTAACGTAGATATATGACCGAACCTAACCAACCCTACCTAACCTAACCTAACCTATCTTTATAGGTTAGGTTAGGTTAGGTAGGTTAGGTTGGTTAGGTAGTCGAAAAACAATTAATTCATGAAAACTTGGCTTATTAGGCAAATCGGGCCTTGCATAGTAGGCTGAGAAGTGCGTTCTGGCTACTAGGTACGACATATATATATATATATATATATATATATATATATATATATATATATATATATATATATATATATATAGACTCCGCTCAAGACTCCGCTCCAATATAGAAGCATCAAGAAATATGGACCAATAGGCTTTCTACAAACACTTCTATTCAATATCCATTGTTTCGTGTTCTGTCTTGTGTTGATACTTTTAATACCCTATTAATATCCTCTAATGCCACATCATCCTTCCCACCTTACTCAAATGTAATGCCACATCACCCTTCCCACCTCACTCAAATGTAGATATATATGTATGTATGTATGTATGTATGTATGTATGTATGTATGTATGTATGTATGTATGTCGTACCTGGTAGCCAGAACGCACTTCTCAGTCTACTATGCAAGGCCCGATTTGCCTAATAAGCCAAGTTTTCCTGAATTAATATATTTTCTCTAATTTTTTTCTTATGAAAGGATAAAGCTACCCATTTCATTATGTATGAGGTCAATTTCTTTTTATTGGAGTTAAAATTAACGTAGATATATGACCGAACCTAACCAACCCTACCTAACCTAACCTAACCTAACCTATCTTTATAGGTTAGGTTAGGTTAGGCAGCCGAAAAGGTTAGGTTAGGTTAGGTTAGGTAGGTTAGGTAGTCGAAAAACAAATAATTCATGAAAACTTGGCTTATTAGGCAAATCGGGCCTTGCATATTAGGCCGAGAAGTGCGTTCTGGCTACTAGGTACGACATATATATATATATATATATATATATATATATATATATATATATATATATATATATATATATATATATATATATATATATATATATATATATTATTTATTTATTTATTTATTTATTTATTTATTTATTTATGTGGTACACAATATTGCTATAAATGATAACATTAGTTGAAAATCTTAAATATTAGTTTAATTGTTTCAGTTGAGGATACATTATAAAATACTGTACAATAAATGTGTTTTCCAGTGGTAGTGGCAGCCTTTACAAACATACCACCCATTGATTTGGATACAGTGCTCTTCCTGGATCATGGCCAGAGAACGCTTGGACACGTATTTGATGTTTTTGGTCCTGTCCAGGAACCATTTTATGTGGTGCGTTTTAATTCTGCTGAGCATGTGAAAGACCAGAAGATTGAAAAGGGAGATCTTGTCTATTTTGCACCGAGCACAGAGCACACCAACTATGTTCTTGTTAATGATCTAATGAGGTAAGTTAAATGTGATTTAGTTTTCATTGTACATTACTTAAAAAAAAAATTAATATTTCATCATTTACAGGTTTGTAATCATCATTTACAGGTTTGTAAAGTGCTTCCTGTATTTCAGTAGAGAAGCCTGGAGACTTCTCTGTTGTAGCAAGATTTTGACTGGGATCTTCCAGGCAGAATATTGTCACAGATTTTGACAGATATAGTTCATTTAATTTTGTGTCTCATATTTTTGCAGTTTGTTTAAGGTTTCTTTATGTATTCCCAATATAAATATCATTGTTTTTATATAAATATTTGTTTTCTGGAAGGGCTTCTAAGGTAGCTTGTTGCTATCTACCTGGATAGATATGAACCCTGGACCACTCACGGTCATCAACCTGTTCTACAATACTTAGGCCATTGGGTTTTCCTGGAGTTACTTGAAGTGTGTGTGTGTGTGTGTGCATTGTACAGTGATTCCTTGCTCTTTGGAGTTGGTCACTTCGGGTTCTGGCTTGGCTGGATTCTTATAGAGGATGGGTTCTTTTTGTGGGCCCATGGTGGCCGGCCCAGTCATGGTTTCAGGTGCTTCAATGTTCGGTGTCCGAACCTGGGTGTTTTTCTGTGGCTCCGCCTCTTTCAGCAGGTCGATCCGGTGAGTTACCTAACTAATTCACCTTGCTCCTCCACATTTAACGTCTAGCATTTCTGACGCATGTGAATTACCATTTATATGTTGATCAGGTGGCTTCTTTGATGGTGTCCCACCTGTGGTCTCTGTCTCTTGGCGATCTTTCTGCCATTTTCTTTCTCTTCTTCTGTGTTGGACCAGGTTGTTTGAACGGGGGGTCCTCCTCAAAGTCATCTCCTCAGTCCAAGAGACTTTGTGGGTTCAAATAGCACTATAGGGCCTGTGTCAGGTTAGGTTAAGGGTGTTTTTTTCTGTGGAGGGATGCAAGTACTAAGTGGTCTTTAAGTGACTTCCCTCGCTTAACATAGGGGGATTATTGAGCAAAGTTCCTCCAGGATGGGTGTTCACCGTATTTGAGTCTCAGTCAGTCCCATAGGTCCGTTAGGGTGTCCCTTAAAGGGCATGCTAGGCTCTTGAAGTACATTGCCAGGAGAATCCATCTTGACTTGTCTTCCCCTCGGGCTGGGGGCTGGAGGAGCTGTTGTCTCGTTTTCAGTCTTACTTTTGACTGTGCAGCATCAGATACTTGCCCTGGGTAGCCTCGGGCACTGAACCAGTGGTCCTGTGGAGTAAGAGTGTCAGCTTGGCTGTTGATCCTCTTGACCCTCAGGCCTAATAAGTAAGGGAGAGAGTTCTTTAAGGAGGTTGGATGACTAGAGTTGTACCTGAGGTAGGTATGTAGGTTTGTGGGCTTCTTGTAGGCTTTTGTGTGTAGGAGTCTGTCCCTTTGGCCTATGTAGACTGTAGTATCCAGGAAGATTTTCTCCATTGTGCTGTGTTCCAGGGTAATTTTTAGGTTCTCGTGTGCTTTGTTCATCCAGGTGTGGAAGGACAGCAGAACCTCACGGCCGCCTGTCATCACCCCAAAGATGTCGTCCATGTACCTAAATTAGGCACCTGGCCTGTCCGGACGGGACACACTCTGAGCTTCAGATGCGGTGTGGGCGAATATTTCTGTGATCGCTACACTACTCGAGGCCCCGATTGCTGTGCCTTTGATTTGCCTGTAGGCTTTGGAGTTAAAGGTCAAGATCGTGCATCTCATTTCGTGTAGGATCGCTTCTTCTAGGAGTCTTCTTGTGGGGGTGTCCAGACTCCCGCATCTCTGAGGGGCTGGAGGATACCTGCTTGATACCTGTTTGATGGGGTTCTGGGAGTTCTTCTACTCCCCAAGCCCGGCCCGAGGCCAGGCTCGACTTGTGAGAGTTTGGTCCATCAGGCTGTTGCTTGGAGCGGCCTGCAGGCCCATACCCACCACAACCCAGCTGATCTGGAATTTCTCTTAAAAAACAGTCCAGTTTTCTCTTGAAGATGTCCACGGGTGTTCCAGCAATATTTCTTATAGTCGCTGGGAGGACGTTGAACAACCGCGGACCTCTGATGTTTATACAGTGTTCTCTGATTGTGCCTATGGCACCTCTGCTCTTCACTGGTTCAATCTTGCATTTTCTTCCATATCGTTCACTTCAGTACATTGTTATTTTATTGTGAAGATTTGGGACCTGACCCTCCAGTATTTTCCATGTGTATATTATTTGGTATCTCTCTCGTCTCCTTTCTAGAGAGTACATTTGGAGAGCTTTGAGACGATCCCAATAATTAAGGTGTTTTATCTCATCTATGCGTGCCGTATATGTTGTCTGTATTCCCTCTATTTCAGCAATCTCTCCTGTTCTGAAGGGGGAAGTGAGTACTGAGCAGTACTCAAGACGGGACAACACAAGTGATTTGAAGAGCACAACCATTGTGATGGGATCTCTGGACTTGAAGGTTCTCGTAATCCATCCTATCATTTTTCTGGCTGACGCAATACTTGCTTGGTTATGCTCCCTAAACGTTAGGTCGTTGGAGTATCATTATTCCCAAATCCTTGACATGCTGTTTTCCTACTATGGGCAGATTCGATTGTGTTTTGTACCCTGTATTATGTTTAAGATCCTCATTTTTGGCGTATCCGAGTACCTGGAATTTATCGCCGTTAAACATCATGTTATTTTCTGCTGCCCAGTCGAAAACTTTGTTAATATCTGTTTGTAGTTTATCAATGTCTTCAGCAGAGGTAATTTTCATGCTGATTTTTGTATCATCTGCAAAGGATGACACGAAGCTGTGACTTGTGTTTTTGTCTATATCTGATATGAAAATAAGAAACAGCAGTGGTGCAAGGACTGTACCTTGTGGTACAGAGCTTTTAACTGCGCTCGGACTCGATTTTACTTGATTGACTGTTACTCTTTGTGTTCTGTTCATCAGGAAATTGAGTATCCAGCGTCCTACTTTACCAGTTATGCCCATTGACCTCATTTTGTGTGCAATCACTCCATGCTCACATTTGTCGAATGCCTTTGCAAAATCTGTGTATACGACATCAGCATTATGTTTTTCCTCTAATGCCTCAGTGATTTTGTCATTGTGGTTAAGTAGCTGTGAGAGGCATGATTTTCCTGCTCGAAATCCATGTTGGCCTGGATTGTGGAGGTCATTGGTTTCCATGAATCTAGTAATTACCTAAGTGTAATTACCTAAGTGTAGTTACAGGATGAGAGCTACGCTCGTGGTGTCCCGTCTTACCAGCACTCTTTGTCATATAACGCTTTGAAACTACTGACTGTCTTGGCCTCCACCACCTTCTCCCCTAACTTGCTCCAACCGTCTACCACTCTGTTTGCGAAAGTGAATTTTCATTTATTTCTTCGGCATCTGTGTTTAGCTAGTTTATATCTATGACCTCTTGTTCTTAAAGTTCCAGGTCTCGGGAAATCTTCCCTATCGATTTTATCAATTCCTGTTACTATTTTGTATGTAGTGATCATATCACCTCTTTTTCTTCTGTCTTCTAGTTTTGGCATATTTAACCCTCAAACCGCGCATATCATATATAAATGATATCCGTGACAAAACCGAAACCGCGCACATCATTTATATATGATTTCGTGTCTAGCGCTATAATTTAAACACCCTGCCTGGGATAGGGGCAGCTATAGTACAGCCACCACTGATAGTTGCCAGATACCACCTAGAAAAAAAATCCAGGCCAACATTCTTGGGTGTTAGAGTGTCAGTATTGAGCAAGCCACCAAGGCTGGCGCACGCAGCACGAGCTCACAGCACCGCTGTTCAGCTTGTGACCACAGCATCGCCTACAAATACCATAATATATATGATACTGCTATTATTTAGCAGTGATAGTATTACTGAAGCCCCCTGACTGTGATAAAACTGACCAGGATTCTGATAATAGCAGGATTGTGGTGATATTTAGCGCTGTGCTCCATGGAGGGAGGAGTAAGGCTGTGGGAGGGACGGTTGTGGCGTTGTTTTCTGACTGTGTGGGGCCACCATTTATTGACTGCACTCACCATACCAGCTTAGTGGTTCGCTATGGTGAACACAAATGTAGATACTTACATATAACGTGTGTATAGTGTGAGATAACAGCGAGAGGAGTAGGTTGGGAGCCGCCATTTTGGTGAGGGAGGAGCGTCGTCTGCACGACTTGGCATGTTGTTTACTGATGGACACTATGGTCTTTAGGCACCATACCAGCTTATTTGTTCAGGTATGGTGAATAAAACAGGTAGATACAGTGGTACCTCGGAATGCGAGTGTCCCTGTATGCGAGTTTTTCGGAAGACGAGCAGTATTTACTCCAAAAATTTGTCTCGGAAGGCGAGTTTGTTGATACGCGTACAGGCCGACCTAGCGCGTGGTGGTTCGGCGATCGTCGCCCCTCTGCCCCGCCGCCCCTCAGTTTACCATTGTCTCGCGCTCAGTGACTACCCCCACATCAATTCTTCTCGCGGATTTTCAGTGTTTTGTTGGATTTTTGGTGATTTGTCTATACAATTTGTTATTATATATCTCACCATGGGTCCCAAGAAAGCCAGTGGTAAGGATAAAGGCCAGAAAGCTCATGTGAGGATGACAATAGAGGAGAAACAAGAGATCATTCGGAAGCATGAGAACGGTACACGTGTTGTTGAACTTTGTAGGCAGTACAACAAAGCCACATCAACAATATGCACTATACTTAAGAAGAAAAATGAGATTATGGGTGCTAAAGTGGCAAAAGGAGTAAGAACATTAACGACACAAAGACCACAAATACTTGAAGAAGTGGAAAAGTTGTTATTAATTTGGATACACGACAAGGAGTTGAGGGGTGATAGTGTTTCGGAGGCCATTATTTGTGAGAAAGCCAGGGTGTTGCACGAAGACCTTCTAAAGAATACCCCTGCAACGAGTGATGCGGATACGAAAGAGTTTAAGGCAAACAGGGGCTGGTTTGAAAAATTTAGAAAGAGAAGTGGTATCCATAGTGTTACAA